GGTTTAGGGTTTGGGGTTTCGGTTTTTAGGATCAATATTTATACGTTGAAGCCTAATCAGTTCTAGGACTGTCTCTCTAGAGCTCCTCATGATAATTGCAATCACTGTCCGGGACCCTATTGAAATTTTAAGCCCCCCATGTTATCCTATTGCCGTTGCGGGCTTGGTTTCTGGACCTGGAGGCGTGGACTAAACCCTGCATCGGCAAGGATGCTATTTTGGAAGGCAGCTTGAACAGTTTTTTTGGACGGAGATCTAACAGCAACACCAGGAAATCCAACGCAGAATAAGCCCTCAATCCGAAGCCAATGATCCTGGATCTTAACTTGGAGCCGTAACCTTGACTCCTACTCACCACCTGCAGTACAAGACTATTCCAATCCCACGCCAAAACCCTATAACCTTCATCCTTCATCCCAAAAGCCCTGGACCGCGCCCCAAATTTCTTCTATTGTTATTACTATTACTAACTACGTACTATATTAATCGTGCAAGTATGACTATCAGTACTAGTACTAGCATTTGTGCCAGAGCAAGCACGTAGTAGTAGTAGTAGTAGTAGTAGTAGTAGTAGTAGTCGTTGTCGTCGTCGTCGTCGTCGTCGTCGTAGTAATAGTAGTCGTCCTACTGCTGCTGCTGCTGCTGCTGCTGCTGCTGCTGCTGCTGCTGCTGCTGCTGCTGCTGCTGCTGCTGCTGCTGCTGCTGCTGCTGCTGCCACTGCCGCTGCTACTGCTACTGCTTCTCCTACTACTACTACTACTACTACTACTACTACTGCCACTACTACAACTACCACGACCACTACAACAACCCGACCACTACCACTACCACTACCACTACCGGCTGCTGCTGCTACTACTACAACTACTACTACTACTACTACTACTACTACTACTCCTGCTACTGCTACTGCTGCTGCTACTGCTGCTGAAATTGCTACGACGAATGAGAAGCTTCAGCTCAGTGTGACATCCTAATCTTAGGGCTAAGAAAAGATCGTCATTTCAATTGCATTATCAATAATTCTGGTAACGAGCAAGTAACAATAATAACAGCAAACAGTTCCAATCACAACATCGTTCTCAATAGAGCAGCATTTAGTCCTTAAAGCCCTTCAGCCACAGTCCCATGGTTAGAACTAGTACCTGCATTTCTATATATATATATATATACATATTATATATACATACATACCTATAAATAGCAGATCCTACCATAAACCAGGTACCGCGAACAAGGCAAAGGGTATTACTTTAAAAGTATGGTATACCTTGTACTCAGTACATATGGTATAGGTACTCCAAACCACTGAAGTCTGCAATTTAGAAGCCTGAGGTAGTAATCTTATTGCTATGTAGGCTTCCTTGTTACAGGTATAGTATGGTTTTCACCCCCTCCACCCCCAAACAGAAAGCAAGCGTGTTCTAATCATTAAGGCTCTGATAGTACCCGTTTATAGAATGCTTCAAGGAATCCTTTAAAGGAACCTCACAGGAACCCTATTCTAAGTATTAAGGCCTGTGTATTACCAAGGATCTCGAGGCTGCGCGGAAAGAGGCTTCTACCGTCCAGGCGACGGACGGTGCGATTTGGGGTTTCGGCTTCAGGCGTGCCTGGACGCTGTTTAGACTTCGTAAACCCGCCGAGTACCCCACAACAATCCCCATATCCCATCCTTTCTAACCCGAAGTCAAAAGATATTTAGATAGCATGGTATTTGGTACGTAGATCCCGTACCATTTGGTCTCTCGGACCTTCTGGCGATTCTGGGACTAGCTACACCAACTTGCTAAACCCTTTTCCTACACCCTACGCCCTATAGGTTCCATCTTTGCCTGGAGCTGGACCTGGGAAGTTAACAAAATCAACGGCGAAATCCTTGCGGTTATTTGGCCAATAGAAAGGGCTGAAGGAGAAGGGTGTTGTCGCAGGCACAGCTTGCTACGACGGCCAGCGACCTCGCTGCGACAAAGAGTGCGGCCTGCCTTGATTTTGGGGATTTTTACGAACCACAAGGGGCTCCTATAGGGTTCGGCGTGCGCAATGCTATTTCTTAGGTTTTCTGCACCATGTATACTTATATACCATACCATACCCCACAGTCCCAGAGCCCTAATCTTGTCAGGGCACCACTGTAGGCGGAACTGCCGAGCTCCCCATGACAACACATTGGGGTTTCCGAAAATAGGGGACCCTAAAAAAGTACCCTAAATAGTAGGATCCCTATTATAAGGACCCCCAAATAAGGTACCCCTAACTTTCTGAAACTCCCACATGGGGTCAGGCTCTTTTTCGGGTACCAACGTTTCTCGTAACAGGTCCTGACCATGAAAAGAGATACCCCAAAAGAGGTGTAGGGTAGGACCCTCTAGGCAACCCTGAACTCTACACCCTTGACCCTAAAGGTAGAGTATGACCTTCTAGGTAAAGATACCCTATAAAAAGGTGAACCCTAAACCCTAAACCCTAAATTAGTGAGAAGTCAGCTCTGAAACCCGAACCGTAGTCCCGAACACTAATCGTCTCCCCGAAGGACTAGGCTTCCCGACGTCCCCAAACAGAGGTTTGAATAGCTGGCCCGTTTAGGAGTTTAGGGTTTAGACGCTTGGGTTTAGGGTAATAACTGGCAATGCTATTCCTTACCTGTGGTAGTAGGGTACCCTGATCTAAACCTGTCGCAACATTCCTTAAAATCGTATTCTCTGAGCATGAGTTCCATTATCCCTCTACGGCCGCGGTTCCCTGTGGATAAAAAAAAGTATTCTTTCCAAACCTCTTCAAGCCTACTCTGATTCTCAGTTTAGCCATCATAAGGCCATGCTCATAGCAGCGCTAGAGACATTCATAAAGCCCCGACAAACCCTATGAGAACTCTAGCGACTCAGGCCCCTTTATAGACCCTAAGCCCTACACCCTAAACCCCTCAACCATAAAACCTGCACCCTAAGTTATTCATGCTCCTAGATCAGGTTCAGGTTTTAGGGTTTACCCTTAGCATCAAAATAGCCCAAATGCCTTACACAATAGGGTCTTTGGGCCCAAAAGCCTTAAAGTATGAGTCCTTTGAGGGTAAGGGTTAAGGGTCTACTTGGAGGATCATGGGACTTAGTAAGTAGGGTTATAAGTACCTTAACTGGGGTTGTTAGTAATTATAAGTATAGTTACCTTTATTATAACCCTAGTTGCTAAGTCCCATGATCCTTTAAGTAGGGTCCGCAAACTGAGGAGCTGGATGCGACGAAGGGCGAGCTCAGCACGGTGAAGAGCGAGGCAGGGTTTAGGGTTTAGGGGTTTGGGATTGAGGGTTTAGGGTTTAGGGTTTACGGTTCGGGGGCTTATGGGTTTGTTGACAGGGCCTTTATCAAGGTTCCTAAAGGGTTCCCGCAGCGACTGTATTTTTTGTAGAAGAGTTGAGGTTTTCAGGGATTTTATCGGTCTAGGGCGTTTGTGTTCAGGGTGTTGGGTTTAGGGCCCCTTAGATGGTCTGTTGGCGGCTGCAAATTGCCAATTCTATCCCTGGTGGTTCCCAAGTACGACTTTACAACAATATACCCCCCAAACCCGATTCTACCGAAGGTCCTTACAATACCACCCTACAGAAAAGCGCCAAAACCGAAACCAAGCGCAGGCCGCGACCACCGCCGATGCTCTGGCCGCCACCAAAGCCGAGTTGGCCAGTTCCCAGGAGACGCTTGGACATGGACTACATACGCTTACTTAGCCAATGGGGGAGCGTCAAACCTTTTGGCTGTATGTGTGTACATACATATATATATATATACATATGTGTATACATGTATATATGTGTGTATGTGTATTTGCTCTATGTAAGAAACCTTCACTTGCTTGCTGCCCGGCTGTTGAATAAGAGAGTAATTATACAGTTTATGGCGTGGCTTCTGAACTTTGGGATCCGTCTTCAGGATTAGGGACTGAAAGCTTAGGATTGGGGTTTTGGGAGGTTCTGCACATTAGGGGTTCTGTAAGGATTTTTATCAATGGGAGCGGTTTTCAATGGGTTTTATAAGGGGCTTCTGAAATTTACGGCTTCCCTGCGTGGGGGTCGTTGGGGTCGCTAGAAGTGTATGGCAGTGCTAAACTACACCTACACCACCGACATGACATTAGGGTTTAGGACTTAGGGTTTAGGGTTTAGGTGTTCCCCGAACCCTGAAGTTCGTATACTTCTCCCACGTGCGCACCTCCGCGATGGAAAGGCGTGGATAGGCACTTGGGTTCGGGATTTAGGAGGTTTAATTAGGTTGCAAAGGCGGTGGGAAATACTTGACAGGGATTCGCCGTTTTCCTTTGACTTCAAGGGGCAAGTACCCTTTCGCTAGCTTCATGTGCTTGTAAAGGCTATGTAGCTTCTGCAGGGAAGGACTGAGGACTCCGGCAAGCTTGTTCTCAATGTTCGGTTCAGACTGCAAAGCTAATATATATATATATATATGTGCCTAAATAATTACGGGGTTCCTCATTGTGATTATAATATAATAGACCCCAAACCCAATTCTAATTGTTAAGGCCCCTATATTAGGTTAACTCTCCGTCCTATCTAGAGTCTGATTTCGTGCACACGAGAACAGACACAAGACCCACATGAGCGTGCAAATGCTAGAACACTACCCAACTTCGTACATTCGGAAGCGATCAGCTTAAAATGGTCCTATAGAAGCACCTATTAAAGATAGTTTCTGCGGCCCCTGAGTTACGGTCACTCAACGTTAAATCCAAGGCAAGCAACTGCCCTGTCAGCGAGCGTCGCCGAGAAGGAGGCATCAGCTGCCTTCATCTGACAAATATTAAGAATGCCAAAGGGCCGCAGGTACCGTTACGGGGGAAACCCTGCCCAAGTCATACTAGTGCTCTCGAATCAAGAAACCTTCCATTCTACTATATATATATATATATATATATATAGGTGCTTGGGGACCCTTTCGGAATGCAGGTACGGTTTTTGGTTGGGGGTCCATGGCATCAGGGCTGTATATGGCAATCTTTTGTAGAGATTATAGGCACCGTGTTCTTTTCGCAGATACCTTAAAAGCATGAAGCGTTTAAATCTGAGGTGTGTTTTCCGTCTCAGCGTAGAGCTCAGACAGAATTTCCGCATGACACCTGTGCAGAGCGTCATGGTGACACGGAGGGATACCGAATTCGCCAAGCCCTGAACCTTCTAACGCAGGTAAGCCGTCAGTCGTAGCTGTGATGCTGGAAACCTTAAGCCCTAAAATCCTCTGCGCCCACATGGACTCGGACCCTTATAGCACCGTAACTAGGAAGCTGCGAAAAGTTGTAAAGCCCTATTAAAAAAAAACCTTACAAAGCTCTCCCTAAATCCTAGATCCGAAGGCCATAGTAACAAAACACTTCACGCTGTCAGAGGCGCAGATTACCTCTCTGCAGTCCGAGCTTGCCAAGGCCCAGGAGGAGCACGAGGAAGCACGGCTTAAGTAGAGCCAACCCAACACCCTTTGAATTAGGGTGTTTTCCGTCGGTTTCGATAGAGGTTTTAAGCTGTAATGGGGTTGGTACAGAATACAAATTCAGACTATACTTTCAATCATAAGTAGCAGCCCTAAACCCTAAGCCCTAAGCTCTAAAGCCTAAACCCTAAANNCCCTAAACCCTAAACCGTAGCAGACCTAAACTATGTCCAAAGGTGTGTAACTTAATTGCGCTGGCCTCTCCCGGTCTCCTCTGCTGCGCTAAAGGCTTGGGTTTCTATGGGCTTTTCAAGGGGCCTCCTCGTTGTTTTTTTTTTTTTGGGGGGGGG